ACACACACCGGCACACGCGTTCACACACACGCACATGGGCACACAAGCACATCTTCATATACAAAGGGACACTCGTACACATGTGTACAGACATGAACACATCTAACACGTGTGAACAAAACCATAAGAGCGCACGGGTGTAGACACTTCCACACACAAGATGACATGTGTGCACAGGCCCAGGCAAGGGCCACGCATGGGAGAAAAGACCCAGAAACCACAACTGAGTCCCAGGTGCTTCTAGGGCCTGGCTGGGTAGGGGGTGCTATGGGCCACCGGACAGGTGGCTGGCACTGGGTGGAGGGTGCCTTGGGCCACCGGACAGGTGGCTGGCACTCGGGGTACAGGCCCAGCTGGACTGAGGACCCTCCTAGACCCAGTTGGGGCCCGTGTGCCCTCATCACCCCACTCTGGGGCCAAGCCTCCCCCTCAGGACCTGTCACACCCCACCCTCTGAGGTAACACCATGGAGGGAATTCTGCCAGAAATGAGGCCGAGACCAGAGAGGCTGAAGGAACTCCCCAGATCGCACAGCAGGCAGGAGGCGCGGCTCGGCCAGTCCGGGCGCCGGCTCAGCGCTGTGGCTTGAAGAAGCCTCCTGGGCTTCTGTAGCCCCCGGAGGCCCCGGGGGGGGGGGGGCGCCTGGCTCTGCCCCGCCCCCAGCTCCCCTCTCAGCCACAGGCCGCGCTGGCTCCTCAGGTTACGCGGGACAACAGGGAGGGCAGGGGAAGGCGGAAACCGCAGGGCACCTCCCTGGGGAGCAGGAGTACCGATTCTCCGGCCTCCCAGGCTGCATGAGAAAAACCTCCGCCTGACATGGGCGGGAGGCCCGTGGCCGCCGTGGGGAAGCCCCCATCCTGGCCTTTCGGTTCCTGGGCCCGGGGCGCCCGCCAGCCTGAGGGCCCGGGCCCATCACTTAAAGACAGAGGCTCTGCTGCCCACGCCAGCCTGCGCAGGCGGGAGGGGACGGGAGCGGGCAGAGGCGGGCACAGGGCTGCGAGGACCCGGCTCGGGGCGGCCATGGGCCCAGGAAGGCCCCTCAGAGGCAGAGCCAGAGCAGCAAGGTCACACGGAGGCCTGCGTGTGCTCTGCCACCGGCCTCTCCATTCCCGTCCACAGACCGAGGTTGAGCTTCCACGGCCAACTTCCTGGGCCCCCGGCCGGCAGCTAAGTGCCAGCGCAGCCCTCACCCAGCGGGGGGGGGGGGGGGGGGAGTCCCCAGATGGGGTGGGCAGGACTGGGCTCTGAGGTTGGGGGGCCCGGCCTGGGCTGAGCGAGGGGAGGCCGCCATCGGCCTGGCACAGCCAAGAGAGGGGGTGGCTGCCCGCCTCAAGGCGCTGACACCCCATGCGGACGGGCACAGCCTGAGTGAGGGCCCGGCCCACGGCGTCCTGGTGGGTGGGGCCATCAGGCTGTGGCGTCACGGCACCTGCACCCGGAGCCCGCCCTGCCCACCAGGGCCCCGCCCTCTCCCACTAATCCCCACCCCCAGCACCTGAAGCAATTCTGTTATGTCAGTCGGGGAAACTGAGGCAAGATCATCCCCACGGGGTGGGTCAGCTCTGAAGACCAAAGCCTGCCCGAACCCAGCGTGCCCACACTGCCCCTCCGGGAGCCGGCGGCCCCACCCGCCTGAGGGGCCGGGAGCCGGCCGCGCCCACCTGTGCGGGCGGGGGGGGGGGGGGGGGGGAGGGCTCGGCACAGACCCCGCTTCCACGCCTGACTGTCTCTCCTCTCCTCGGGGACACCAGGGTGACTAAGAACCCAGAGGGAGACGCGCCGCAGACGAGGGGGACTCATCTTAAAACGGCTCCCTCCGGCTCCCGGTTAGTCTGGACGGCTGGCCAGAGGCACCCCTTAAAGGCGGGACCCAGCAGGGGCAGCAGCCCAGGGCCCCCCCCAAACCCTCCGCCCTGGGAGGGATGCGAGCCCTGGCAGCTGCGCCCAGCTCCCCGCCTTGCTCCCCGCCCCCCCAGCAAAGGAGACGGGGACCCAGATGTGTGAGGCCGCTCCCCCTGACGGGAGAGCCACGGGAGGTGCCGAGGCCCAGACAGACACACGTCACCCACCATTAACCGCAGCCAGACTGACGCATGCTCAGTCGCGGCGCTCAGAAGGAGCGCACCCCCCGCTGTCACTCATCTGCCGGGGCATCCAGACCCCCAGGCTCCTCTCTGCCCCCGCCCGTGCCCACCCACACCCAGAGGGAGGCAGGCGCTGGCTGGCACCCTCCCTGGGGCAGAGCGGGGCCGAGCAGGCAGCTCAGCAGGGTGCTTCCCCCAGTTCTCAGCGGGTGTGCTGCGTGTGTGCTGTGTGTGTGTGTGTGTGCGCGTGTGTACGTGTGTGTGTGCGCGTGTGCACATGCATGTGTGTGCGCGTGCGCGCGCGTGCGCGTGTGTGCATGTGCGTGTGTGTGTGTGTGTGTGTGTGTGTGTGCATGTGCAGGGGCCAGAGACAGAGGTCCAAGGTGGTGGCAGGGGAGGCGGGCAGGGCAGGGGCGGCAGAGAGAGGACAGGGACCAGCACGGACCAGCAAAAGGCGCAGGGCGGTGAGGAAGGATGAGAGACGGAGGAGGCGGCGGGGAGGGCGAGAGGCCGGGGCCCGGGAGGAAGGAGACAGGAGAGGAGGCAAAGCGGCCAGCCGCCCGCAGCCAGCGGCGCCGTCACGCCATCGCCACCTGCCACCACGCGGGGCCGGGCAGGACGGGAGCAGGAGGGACCGTGACCGGTGTGTGCGCCGATCCCGCCTCGGCCACCCCGCTCCCGGCCTCGTACATGCGTGCAGGGACGCACACGCGTGCCCTTGTGCCCAGGTGGCCGCCTCCTTGTGGGAAACCCTGATCCAGGTCCGAGTGGGGTGCCAGAGCCCCCCCAAACCAAAGCCCTGTCCTCTCCCCAGTGCCGATGCCTCTGCCCGCCCCTCGGCGGCGCCCGGCGGGCACAGAGCCACGCGCCTGCCAGAGCGAGGGCAGCGTGACGGCCACCGGCCCCGCGCCGGCACCTGCTTAACGCCCAGCGGCGTGAGAGCCGGGCCGTCGCTGCCAGACACCCGTGAGGACGTGACTCCCATCGGGGCCTCTCAATGGGGGGCTGTCCCCCCGGGCCGTGAGGCTCCCCCCTCCCCCCTGAGAGCCACCTGTGTCATCTCACCCGGCCGGCCACGCTGAACCTGGAGAGTCCAGGGCGGCCTGCCCCACACCCCAACCCCAGCAGCCTCGGCCTCCGTCAACCCCAGCAGCCTCGGCCTCCGTCAGTTCAACGAGAGCCCCAACTCCCCCAGTCCTGGTGGCCTCCCCCCCTCCCCTCCTCCCCTCCTCCCTCCGAGGATCTGTGGGCATCGCCTCGGCAGGACCAGGGCGGCTGAAGGGCGCTGGCTGTCACGGTCAAACTCTGTCGTCACGCCGTCCCGCCCCTCCCCCGGACCCTCAGAGCCGCACGGCCCTCCCCCTCCCCCCACCTCGTCCTCTCATCACGGTTTCCAAGACGTGGTGCCCAAACCCCCAGGCCAGCTCCCCCTCCACCGCCGGGAGAGGAGCGTCCAGCTGGCGATCGCCCCGCGGCCATCACCGCCTCCCGCCTCCCGGCCGGGGACGGGGACAGGTGGCCGCTCCTGCCGGGGTCTCTCACCGTCCTTCCCGGGCAGACCCCGCGGCCCGCGGCCAGCCGGCCGGAGGCAGAGGGAGCGAGGGGGGAGAGGGGAGGGAGGCGTCTGTGTGAACCTTGGCGGAGGATCTGTGAGGCCGCCAGGCTCGGCTTTGCTGGGAAAGAACAACAGAGAAGCCACGCTCTCTCTGGCTCCCAATGCTGTGGTTCAGGTCCATTTCCCTCCCAGCAAACCAGAGGCAAAACGCACCCATGAGCCCTCAACTTCCATGCGATCCTCTCCTCCCTGCCACCCCTCCCCCTACACACACACACACACACACACATGCACACACACACACACACACATGCACACGCACACGGAAAACCCAGACAGTTGACAGAGGACACGTCCGTGCGGCACCTGTCATTTGCCAACTGACCGCCCGCCTGAGCCCGGCCAGGCCGAGCGAGGAGAGCGAGGGAGGAGGAAGGGGGCTGGGGGCAGCGCCTTCCCCTCCGTGCACCCCTCAGCACGCCCCTCGTCCAGGACCAGGTCCGAAGCAGGACCTCTCCTCGGGGGCTGGTCTCTCCCCTGCCCCGAGGCTGGACCCTTCCCCTGCGGCCGGGCGGCTCCTTTTCCAGACCCCCGTGGCTCCTGACGAAGGAGACCGGACAGGTGGCTCCCCGGGGAGCCGAGGCGAGAACAGGCAGCAAGGTGGTTGCTGTGACCGGAGGCCAGAGGGGCCAGGGCTGTCGGGCTGTCTGGGCAGGGGGAGTGGGGGGCATGGTGTCCACTCCCACAGCCCGGGCACCTCTGGCCACGCTCGCCGGCGGCTCCTGGGGAGGGAGAGGCTGGGGCCGGGAAAGGGCAGAGCGGGCAGGCCCAGGCAGCGGCAGCGGGGGTCCTGCCCGCCATCCATTCCCCTCTGCCCCCTCCCGGGCACCTGCGCCCCCCAGCCGGGCTCACCGGGCACCCTTCCCCCAGGCGCCGCGGGGCGGCCAGGACGGAGGACCCTGAGCCGCGCCAGGCGCCCACGGTCTCTGCACCGGCCCCCCCTCTCCGAGGAGAAAGCCTGGAGACAGGTGCGGGGCGCCAGGCTCCCCCCCGCAGGCCGGAGTCCGCCGCCCCGCGCCCTAGCCCGGGCCCCCTCCGGCCGGGCCGGGAGCCGCTGGCCAGCTCGGACCCCCGCCCGGCCCCCGGGGAGCTGGCGCCGCTCCTCCGCGGGTGCGGGGGGCGGGGAGGCTCCGCGGGGAAGTTTCGCGACGCGGCCGCCGGCGCCGGGACGCGGCCGCCGGGGGCCGGGGGCCGGGGGCCGGGGGCCGGGGGCCGGGGGCTGGGGGCCGGGGGCCGGGGGCCGGGGGCCGGGGGCCGGGGTGCCCGGGCCGGGCGGGCGGGCGGGCCGGCGGCGCACTTACGTGTGCAGCTGCGGGAAGCTGTAGGCTGCGGCGCCGGGGGCGGCGGGCGGCAGCAGCAGCGGCGGCAGCAGCAGCAGCAGCAGGCGCGGGGGCCGGGCGGCGGGGCGCGGGGCGCCGGGGCCGGGCGGGCGGGCGCCGCGGGTCCGAGCCGGCACCGCCATGTTTCCTTGCAAGACGCGGCGGGCGCCGCGGGGAGGGGCGCGGGCCTGTCCGCCTCCTGCGCGGGGCCTCGGGGCGCGGGCCGCGGCGCCTCTGCGGCCGCCCTGCCGCTGCGCGATGCGTCCGCCGCGGGCTCCCGGCGCGCTGAGCGCTCGCCGCCCGGGACCGGCGCTCAAATAGCCGCGGCCCAGCCCGCGGCGCCGCCCCCGCGCCGGCCCGCCCCCGCGCGCCCCCGCCCGCGCGGCCGCGCGCCCGCCGCCCGTGCGCGCCCCGCCGCCCGGCCCCGGCCCCGCGCCCCGCCGGCCGCGGCGCCCACGCAGCCTCGGAGGGCGCGACCTTCAGCGCGGCCGGGGCGGCGCGGGGCCGGGGCGGCAGCCTTCGGGCCGGCGGAGCGCGCAGGGCTTGGTGACCGCGGTGGCGGCAGCCGACTCCAGGGCCAGGGGGACGCCCGGCCCGGGGCAGAGGGAAGGGCCAAGGCTCCTGGCCCCCTGCGCGGGCCCGGCCCCACCTGCCCGCCGCCTGCGGGTGAGGATGCGGGGCGCAGCCCCTCAGCCACTCGTGTCCGTCCCCGGGCCCCGCAGCGCGGCGTGGCCGCCCCCGCACAGAGCCCTGCGGTCCCGGAGGCTGCTGTCAGTTCTTCCTGTCCGGCCCGCGGGCCTCCGAGCCTCAGCTTCCTCCGGGTGGAGGCCTGTGTGGGTGTGTCCCCCCCACCCCCCTTCCAGGATGAAGTGAGAACGGGAGGGAGCTGCTGGGCAAACCCAAGCACCCAAGGCTGGGGAGAGGGAGCACCCCCGAGGTCCCCGCCAAGGTGCCCCTGGTGCAGAGCGGGTGTGAGAATGCTCCTTGCCGGCCGCGCACGGGGCCAGACCCTCTGGACTCTGCTTAAGGGGAGGGAGGGACGGAGACCACCCCCTGCTCCCTGGGTGCGGGGCCATCACCCGCTCACGGTGGCCTCCAGAGGGTTTGCCGTGGAGGGACAAGCGTGGTGGCCCCTGGCCTGAGGAGGGCGGGGCGGGTCTAGGGACAGCCTCCCCGGGCCCCGCTCCTGCCGGCTGTCCCCTCCTCCTCTCCTGGCCGAGGAGCCTCAGACAGGGTAGTCCTCAGCCCCAAAGTCTGAGGTCCCCAAAACATTAGAGGAAGGCGGGGCCCTGGGCCCCCCACTCCTGTCAGGCCTGGCGTCTAGTGAACAGGAGGGGCTGTTGGGTCCCGGGAGGCTGAGCCCGGCTGGCTCCTCAAGGGCCAAGCAGGGCTCCCTGAGCCACTGCCCGACGGTGCCAGGTGCTCCTGCCCACCTCTGGGCAGGGGGACCCCAGGCTGGACAGAATTTGGGGGAAAGGGTCCCGCATAGAAGCCCACAAGCCTTGGCTAAGCAGCCGCCCCAGCCCCACCCGCTGGTGCCATCTCCACGGCTCTCCTCCAGGCCGCGGAATCCTCCAGGCTGTGTGGCCCCAGGGAACCAGCTCACGGCCTCGCCCTCCTGGCTGCCACCCGGGTTGGGGGGGCCCCTTTCCACGGCACACTCGGCACACGGCACACACGGCAGTGGCAGGTGAGAGATGTCAGGGGCAGCCTCCCTGATTCCGGCGCTGCCCCCGGAGTCCAGGCCAGGTGGGGGAGGCCGTTAGGGGCGGAAGTCGGGCCTGTCGCTCCGGGCCCCGCAGATGTGCGCCTAATGGAGCCGCGGGCGCCGAGGGGGCGGCGGAGGTTCGGGTTGACAGGCCGTTAAAGGAAGACGGATAAGGAGGGGAGGCGATTAGGAGTAAACGGGGAGTAAGTTACGCACTGCCACCCCAAGCTCAGCGCTCAGTCTCCTGGCGGCGGCTCCAGCCCCGGAGGGGGGGCCTCCCCTGGCAGGCACAATGCCGTGTTCCACAGCGAAAGCCTGAGCGCCCGCCTGGCCAGAGGCGCCTTGCTGGGGGGGGGGGGGGGCGGGGCAGCGGGCGCAGGAAAGCCTGCCTGTGGCTGGGGGCCTGGCCCGTGCCAGTTCTGCATGTGGGCTGGGCAGCCCAGGAGAGGCTGGGAGGCCTTTATGGTGAACCTACTATGTGTCGAGCAAGTCCCTGGCGTGGTTATGCCCCGTGCAGAGGAGGAAGCCCAGAGGGGCACCTGGGGCAGCAAGGTCCCCACGTCAGCCCGGCCGGCGTGGCTCGGGGTGAGCGGCGACCTATGAACCAGGAGGTCACGGTTTGATTGCCCGTCAGGGCACGTGCCCAGGTGGCGAGCTCAATCCCCAGTAGGGGGCGAGCAGGAGGCAGCCGATCCATGATCCTCTCTCATCATTGATATCTCTCTCTCTCCTCTCCCTTCCTCTCTGAAATCAATAAAAATACATTAAAATTTTAAAAAAGAACATTCCCACTCCATCCTCTGAGGGCTTTGCTGCCACATGAACCAGGGTGTTACGGACCCACAGACACCACTTGTTCCAGGAAGCTTTCCTGCACAGCGCCTTCAGCGACAAGCCCTCCCCTTCCCGTGCCCACTCCCCTGCCTCAGCCTCGACCTACCCACATGCCGCAGCCTCTGCCTGCACTCTGGGCTCTTGACTAGCTGGGGCCCGAGTCTCCTTGTCCCTGCCCTTCCCTCAGGGCCCCACAGAGTGTTGGCATAAGGACTCTCATGTCCATCTCCAAAGCCCGGGGAGGCTGTGCCCAGGAGGAGTGGACTGGTCTGGACGTGAGAAGCGACAGCTTTGGCACCAGCGGCGAAGGCAAGCCCCGTGGCCTCTCTGAGCCTGTTTCCTTGTCCACACAATGGGAGGCGGGGACCCACCTGGCAGGTGGAGCTAGGGACCAAAGCCTGAACCACCTCAGAGGCAGGCCCGCTGCCTCCAGGAGCCCGTCATGGTGGTGCCCTCCCCAACCAGGAGCTGCTCTGGACGGCCTGGTGTTCCTCAGCGCGGTCTGGTCCATCCTGCTCCTGCCGACGGGAAATGGGGCCCAGGGAGGGGCGGAGTGTGGGGAGCAGAGACCAGCCTCCCCTGGCTGGGGCGGCGCAGGGATTGAGGGGTGACCTGTGAACCAGATCCCATTGCTGATCAGGACACACGCCCGGGTTGGGGGCTCAGTCCCCAGGGTGTGGGGCGTGCAGAAGACAGCCAATCAAAGATTCTCCCTCATCATTCATGTTTCTGTCTCTCCCTCTCCCTTCCTCTCTGAAATCAACAAAATATAATAACAACAACAACAACAACAACAACAGCCCTAACCGGTTTGGCTCAGTGGATAGAGCATCGGCCTGCAGACTGAAGGGTCCCAGGTTCGATTCTGGTTAAGGGCATGCACCTTGGTTGTGGGCACATCCCCAGTGGGGGGCGTGCAGGAGGCAGCCGGTCGATGTTTCTAGCTCTATCCCTCTCCCTTCCTCTCTGTAAAAAATCAAAATATATTTTAAAAAACCACGAAGAGGCTAGGCTCTGGGCTCTGGGCTCAGGGCTTGGTTCTGTGCTCTGGGCCCCTCCCAGCCACCGGGGCCCTCAGAGTCCTCAGCACCCGTCTTGGGAGGACCCTGAGCTGAACACCTGCGGGGGGTCCCCCGGCACCACCCCGCGTCCCAGGCGTGGTGGAGGAGGGGCACGCAGGCCCAGGCCCTCTGCCCACGGTGGCCAGAGGAAGGGAGGAGAGTGAAAGAGCATTAGGTGTCTGTTCAGCTTCCAAATAAATAAATGTCTGGGAGCCGGCGGCGCTGACAGCGCTCTCACTCTCCGGACGCCTCCCGCCTCGGGTGGAGGCAGAGTGTCAGCGGCTCAAAGTCAGGCGCCGAGGAGCCGCCTTCCATCACGACGAACGCTCCATCACGCCGACGCCTCATCAGCCAAACAGCCCGGCAAATTGCCTCCTCCGCTGCCGCCCCAGGCCCCCGGAGAGAGAGGAGAGGAGGTGGGGGCCAGGTCTCCCGCACGGGCCTGGGAGGGCTCGGGCCGGCTCCCCCCCCACCCCCATTTCGGGGATCCAGTTGTCGGCCATTCTGGAAGCAAGCGGTCCCTCTCCTGCAAATGAGGAAACTGAGGCACAGGGGGCGCCAGAGCCGGCCGGCGACGTGACCCCTGGAGGAGGCAGCGCCGCTCAGGGCGTGGGCGAGGGGGAGCCATTGCCGCCCATGGCCGCACCAGGCGCCGAGGGGGGAGCTGGCAGCGATGGGTGATGGGCGTGCCGTGGCCCCGGGACCTGGTCCAGCCCAGGAGCACCTCCGGAGCAGAGGCTTCGGAGCTCCTGCGCCTGCTCAGAGCGTCCTTGGCTTCTGCCTGTCTCCCATCGTGGCTCAGCCTCGGCGGCCGCGGTTAGGGTTGGGCAGGCCCCGGCTCGCCATCACTTAATCTAACTGATGGCACAGCTCCTGTGAGGGGCAGTTAGCACTTCATTTGCGGAGCCTGGAAGACGGATGGGCCCGTGTTCTTCGATTACTGAGAGGCAGATGCCAGGGAGGCAGCGGGGAGGAGAGCGGTGGGAGTGGCTGGCCCCGAGAGCCTGCCCGGCCCGCCGGGTGCTGGTGCCCGCACTCCGGGCCTCCCCTGGGCTCCGGGCACCGGGCAGGGATGAGCGGGAGGCTTTCTGCCAAGAACCTGTCTGTTTTCCCATCGGTGCTGGGTCCGGGCCTCTGCCTGCAGCCCTTGCTGCTCTCCGGGGGCCGGCCTGGGGTGAGGAGGGGCAGGGAGCCGGGAGGAAGGAGCAGGGACTCACCCCCGTCGGTCTGTTGGTCGGTTGGTCAGTCCGTCAGTCAGTGGGAGAGGCCTGGGGATAGGGGACCCTGAGGGGCCCCTCTCAGCCGGATCTGTGGTGGAGTAGCCAGGCCGTTGGCTGAGAGCAGAACCCGAGTGCACTTACGGTTCAGCAGCCGCTCCGGCTCTCCCAGGAGGAGGCTTCCGGCCAGGCCCTGCCCTGGGGGACCCGCAGCAGCACTGGCCCAGGGCAGCGGGCGCCATCAGGGTCCGCCGAGGGCGGTCCGCTGGGGCTGCCCTGCTGGCGGGGCTGCCCTGGAAACACACAAGACAGACGGGCGCAGG